CTGTACTGTAGACAGGGGGTATGAGTAGATGCTTGCTCTGCGTACTATTTACGGCTAACCTACGAGAATTACCACAAAATCTCTTGAAATCCACTCTCACTGTCAACCCCCACACCAAGAAAGATAAGCGTTCTCCTGATATAGCAAAAGATCGGCCGGCTAGGTGTGTTGGATCTTGTTAACCGGTATTCGCAATTCTATTAACCCGCCAAACTAAACTAAACTAAACCCATAGTGGGGTGCCGGGCGGCCAGAGATAGTGGATCTCACAACTACTAGAGTATCAGACTAGTCTATACCGGAACTGTACTCGAGTACCGGTACATGTACTCGAGTACTAGGTACTGCAATATCACATGCAACCATATCATATCTGCAACCATGCACCATCCCTCAACCAACGAAAGCCCCACTCGCAGCACCTGCCCCAGAGCTGCCGAATCTGTCGAGCAGAGAGAGCACACCCGACACAGGTGTTTAGTCAGCCGATATCTGGTTATCGATAAGTTACAGTATTTTCGCCGTTCGGAATTCCGGGCCAAGGTTTCCCCGTCCTTCCCCGGCCGGCCCCGACACGATCAATACTTGGCCATTCGGCAAATTGTCAGGGTCAGGATCGGTATTAGGAATTTCAACTTGAGAGGGAGTCGGTAACAACATCCCACGTTTGCATGTACCGGTGCATGGATCGATAGACTTGCTTACTTTTTCCTCAGGACTCACAATGTTATGGGGGCGGTGCTCATGCGGTACAGGTAGGCATAAGCAATAAGGAGGTTCTAGTAATGAGCACTCTCGTCCTGGGGTGTCTATTCTCGAGTTTAAGCCATGAGAGATTCCCGATAATGTATTTGTCACCAAAGGTTCCAACTACACTTACTGACACCTTCAATCCTGGTGGAGAGAAGTCGCCGGGACGAAGACATCTGACCAAGCCAGTCCATTCTCATAGCTGGCATTCGTATTTATTGCAAGGCGACTTCCGTGACAATCAGAGCCAAGAACACGAGCCCCGAGAGTCAGATACTAAATCCGTGCCCCCCAACACCGACAACGCATCCCACTGGGTCCAATCACCAGCTAGGGCCGTGTATTCCGCGGTATTGAGTTCGCAAAGATGGCCACCTCCGAACCCCACCAACCCCACGGGAGTATGTGCCGGTACCGTACTCGTACTGTAACGTTTGTGCAGTTGTTCTCAAGCACCCCCCAGCACTTTCGCACCACCTTGCACAATTCTGTGAGTCAGAGCTCCCGAAGATCCATGGCAAGACCAGAAACGACAATGCGGGCTTCCCGCGCCCCCTCCTTCGAGTGACACCTGGTGACCAAGGACAAGCCCTAGCATCTACGGTACCGTAGCAAACTGACCGGAGAGATTACAAAAAAAAGCACCAGGTTTCTTCTAGCCGGATGAAAATCGTCCCGAGACACACGGGATGGCACACACCGGTATGACAGGGCGATTGCTCTTCGCAGACAGGCTCGCAGGCTTCAAGGCTTTGGCTATGGCCTGACAGTAGATGTAGCACAGGAAAAGCAATTTAGCAATGACTCGACGCGACGCGCCAGCATCCTAGCATCGCTCTCTCATGCGACCCAACAACGCGTCTTCCCCGCAGCTGGTGTTTGCTAAGTCTTTTAGTCTTCCTTTGAGGGGCCTGTGCCGATAAGGGATGGTGGGGGATCGGGTATAAAGCCCTGGGGATGCCCCCGTCCCTGTGTTCCTCACCATCAGAAAAACTCGATTGACTTCAACCTCACCCTCAGCACTACACTTCATTCACTTCATTCACTTCGCTCGAGAGATTCTTCGTCTTCCCCTTCTTTATCGTCAAAATGATTCATCATCTTGGTTATTGTGTTGTGGATTTGGAAAAAACTGTCGATTTTTATCTCAAGGCTCTTGGTCCTCTTGGGTTCGTCTTTCTCCCAACATGCCTCCTCCTCCTCCTCTCCTCTCTCTTTGCTCCCCGCTAATTAAGCCCCTCTCCCCCTAGCTATGAAAAATGCATTGCATTCCCTGGCATTGAATCAATTGGTGTGAGCGGTCGCCCGTCCATCTGGTTCCAGCAGCGCACGCCAGAGAATACCCGCGGCGTTGTTAATGCCCTCCACCTCGGAATCCAAGCCAAAGACAATGCCACCGTTGATGCATTCTATAAGGCCGCCATGTATGTCCCCACCCCTTCTCCGCGGCCCTCACAGAGTCACTGACCAACCTGCCATCCTCGCAGAGCCGCAGGAGGCACATGCAACGGGCCACCCGGACCTCGCCCTCAATATACCAAGACCTACTACGCCGCTTTTGTGCTCGACCCTGATGGAAATAACCTCGAGGCCATGTATATGGATGCCAATTACGAAGCTGAGTTGCGAGCTAAGGCGGAGGCTTCTGGCGAGGGGGGTTGCACGGGCATGTCCTCCGAGGCACAAGCCTAGATTACCTGTTTTGGGATATGCAAGGCTTTGTCGGCTCTCTTCCTGCAAGGAGTGGGGAGGGGTGAAATATGAAATATGAAATTTTGCAACTGAGCGTTGAGAGAGTAAATCGAGTGAGGTCTTGTGAATATGTACTCGTATTTTGATGATTACATGGGGATAAGGCTATCGGAACTGCCATTGATACTCCCGTATAAACATTGAAAAGGAAACAAGACTGTAGGTTACATGTGCGGTATCGCACGATACCAGAGGGAACTCCAAAAATCTTCCCCCCCCCCTAATAGCCACGAAAATATATAGAGTCCACAACCATACGAAAATCATGTAGACCCATATCCAACCCCCTAAATCCTCCACACACACCCCACCCACGACACCTACGCACCGGCACCCCCTACCCAGCCCTCCCCAATGACCCCGCCGCCCCCAACGCAGCAGAATACTATGACCCTCCACGCCCATGGCGCAAACTTCAGCATCAGGAAAAGCTTGAGAACCAGGTACGTGACAAGCACGTATACCGATAATGGCACGTCGTGCCGCACGCCGCCATCGTCACCGCCACCACCCGGCACCCGCCACGAGATGGCTTTGTATATTCTCGGTTGAGTGTTGTTGTCCTGCATGGGTTTGGTTGTAGTTGTTGTTTTGGGAGTTCTTGGTGGTGGGGAGAGGAGGTACAAAGGGAGGGGAGGGAGGGAGGGGGTATATGGAGGAGGCAAACGGTGGTTGTGAGGGTGGTGTTTGGTGTTCAGCGTTTGTTGATATAGAAATGTATCATAGGAATGTGTTCGTTGGTTTGCTCATTCATTTGTGGGTAGCTGGGGTCCGTCCGTCTGATGGGGGACATGTTCCGTTGATGGGCTTTTTTTTGTTTTTGCTTTTTTGTTCTTTTTTCGTACGTGCTGTGCTATGGGTGAGGTTTTGAGGGGTGATTGGTATGACGGGAGTTTCTGGGAATGGGTTATGTACGGTGAGGATTGGTTTCCAGAGCACGGTACCGTATTGAATGTGTGTTTCATCGTCCCACTGCCGGAGGGGGAATCTACTCGTTCACTCACTCACTCACTCTTATCGGGTTGACATCCTACTTACTTACCCAGTGAGGTAGAACATTGATAGTTAGATATGGTGAGCTCCGTAAGTAAGCATCGAGTTATACAACATTTTGTCCGGAAAGAAAACCACAATTCAAGACACCGCCATCGACACCGGCAATGGCATGGTAGACTATGATATGATAGCATAAATTAGGTGAAGACCATGCCCGCTCAAAAAAAAAAATACCGCGCACCTCCAGGAGGAAATGGGCAAAGAGCCTTTTCGAACAGAAATCGCAGTACGCCACAGGACGGGGGAGGCAGCTAGCACCCATAGACCGGTTTTTTACAAGTGAGAGGATAGCCGTGCGCGTAATGAATGTGCCATGAAGCATCGCATTCGCAAAAATATCCTCTGGTAAAGAGCGGTTTGTCGGATGGTGATCTGATTGAAATATCCGGGATAGTCTGCCCGCAAGTCTACGGGCACGAATGAATCCAAGGTCTCTCTGTCTGTCTGTCTTTCTTTATGTCTAGCGCGGTGGATATCCAGAGTGTTTGTCCCCCCCCCCCTTTCCGTGATGGCTAAGGTATGTATGAGTACCATTCTGAAGATTACGAAGAGTTGGTCCATCCTCGTACATACGCACAGTGGTGTTGTATCTGTAGGAATCTAGGGGGTGCGGTCCAGAAAAGGTGTGGACATAGGAGTGCTGTACTAGTACTCGTACTGAGAGCTTTGAACCTCCCTAGGGTTAGTACAAGTGTTCACCACCCCAGGCAAATGTTAGGACGGTCATACAGTACATTGTGAAAACTAAACACATTTATAGCGGCCCTCCTAACATTCCCCCCGAATCCCCCACTTGAGTATCATATTGGAAATGATCGATCTCTCTCGACGTGCGGCGGCACAGGAGCCCTTCCACAACTCCAAGGACCCGATACATAGACTACCGTCAGAATGAATGGCTGGAGACGGTGTCTATGCATCGTATCATGCCGTACCAGTACAGTATTGCACCACGGGGAGGGTTGACTATCATGATGGAAGGTGCTCATAAGTTAACAACTCCGGCCGCCAAGAACATGGCAGATATCCACTTCGCCACATCCGCCAAACCTAACTTAATTTACCCCACACCCCAAGTATGACACGATACAAGGCATCATAAAGCAACCACCCATTACGGCATCGTCTACGAGCGCGGTGCCGTGGTCCGCCGCGCCGTACATACGCCTCACAATGACAGTAAAGCAACCCTTCTCCGCGGCAATAAACCACATAAATCAGGGCTTACCATCCATCCCTCATCCATCAAGCCCCCAAAACCCTTCGTTTCCAACAACGAAAACCCCCCCCGGCTCGAAACGGGACCCTGCCCATCACGACGACGACGCAGCACCAAAATTCCCTTCCGAAGAAAAACGCGCCGCGTTGTAGACTATCACAAATCACCTCTATCTCCCCATCACAACAGTTCAGTTCAGGATCTAGCGCTATGAACTATGGTTATGATATTCTCGCTTCCCGTCATCCCTTGCGTATGTAGATTTCTAGAAGGAGAAGGAGAAGGAGAAGAAAACTACCGAGCATGGGGGTTTCCGGAGGCGGTATTCTGCGCACTTTTGTCGTGTAAGTACGGGGATGATAGTCGGGAACAGCATGTCATTGTTTAGTATTCGTTATGTCACCCACTCACTCACCCCCCTTGCTCGTGTTGAGGCCGGGGGGAGCTGGCTTTTTATTGCATGGTGTTTATTACCGAGCTGTGCTGTAGAGTACGGTAGTCTACGGTAATATCCCCATGATACCGGTAATTCCAAACATTGTTGTTGAACTAGAACGTATCCCGTATCATTTCCTCATTTCAAACCTCCGGATTTGCATCTCACACCCCCCCCATATGATGACCGAGTGATACACGATGACCGCATACCCCGCAACCCCGCACACCAGCTGCAACCCTCGCGCAGGGACCCATCCATCCATCCATCCATCCAGTACTGTATCTTCCATCCATCTCTCTCTGCCCCCTCCTTCCTTCCTTCCTTTCCTTCTTTCATTTCTTCCTCGCCCCCTTCCCCCCCGGCTCCCGCAACCAGTTTTGGCATGTACTCGAGTACCTTGGCAGGAGGTTACGTCAAGCTCTTCCTCCCCACTCCTCCCCCTCCTACTAAGCCAGGAGGAGTGGGAGGAGTGGGAGGAAAAAACAACTGTCGCCGCCACCCGGTAGTTTCAACGGCAGCCGGCAAAGCGAGTTGCCGCCCTGCCAGGAGGAGATGATGACATGACCTGCTGAACCGCATATTTCCGTTTCAGCCACCTTCCCCGATAGAGATCATATTCCATCACTCGTGGAATAATTGGATGGGAAGCGATCAGGGAGATTGACTTATTCGAGTACCCTCCATCGTGCCCACCGTACTGTACCGTACGACAGGATCTGAGTGGGAGGGTGGGAGGGAAATTACTGTAGAAAGGGAGGGAGGAATACGCTTGGTTGGGTGTTGCCAAAGCGCCGTACTGTACTCGTACCATACCGTACCCAACCATTGACTACGGGTCTTGTACTCGCAAAGAAAGGCCGATACGAAACATTGTATCATATCATACGGTTGGCTCAAAACGTCCCCGTTCGGGCTCGTGTCTGTTTGTTGTTGTTCCGAGCACCGGGGAGGGGCGGTGGTGGGGGGGAAGTTGGAAACCAAACCTTTTTTTTTGATACGGAAATTTAGGGGGAATTTCAAGGAAGTGGTATGGTATGATATGATATCGTACTTAAGGTGGTTAGTCAACGTACGGTGCTCTAGTAAGGTACAGTACCGGTAGGTATCATAGGTGGACTAGGTATTGTGGATAAGCTGGACAGCTCAGAGTCCCTTCCACTCATAACGCTCACGGCATGGTAGACTACAAACAATCTACAACAGTCTGACATGTCCATCCATCCATCTGTCCAATTTCCCGCCCCCCCCCGATCCGATCTATCTGCGGTACCGTATGGAAAAAGCCTACGGAGCTGTAGGTAGCGGATATGATAGGATATGATAGGGTAGGATAGGCTATGTTATGCCATGCTACGTTACATTCCACTTTGTCCGCTTGCTTGCTTGCTTGCTGTTTCTTTTTTTTTTTTTTTTTCTTCCCTCCTTCTTCTTCCATCTTCTAGTTATCGTTGTGCCCGATCTTTGAATCGGGACTGGAAGTGGAAGGGGGGGGGGGGGGGGGTGAACAGTTCTGTTTGACATTTTCGAAAAATGGGAAGAATGAGAAAGAAGAAAAAAGATCCAGACCAAAAAACCAAGGGTGAGAAAATTTATATATAATATTATTTAATTATTGGTTAAATGCAATGGATCATATCTGGACCTTACCGGTATAGTACGGGACTGCAGTGCCGTGAGCGGGGAGTAAAATCCAGGGCAGAGCACCATGAACCGGACCATCATACCGTTCGTTAAGATACCGTAGCTGATACTCATACCCGTACAGATAAGGCCACGATATTAGCGGAGGCGGATATTACCATTATTGTGATTATGATTATTATTATTATTATTTATACTCGTACTGTACGAGTACATCCCACCTGAGCGAATGGAATGAGGGAGCGAGCAGACGGGGAAAAGCCAAATATTATTCCATCATTACTATGCTAGGCAAAAAAAAAAAAAAAAAAAAAATAAGTGTATGATTTCGTATCGTATCGTATCAGGAATTTTAGCATTTCCACTCATTCACTCATTCACTCGCTCACTCACCGCTCGCTCGTTACTCATTCGTGCTGATTAGTGGCGTCCGCAATGTCTGCCAAATATCACACCGGGAGCAAAGAAGAGCAGCGGAGCGGAATATGAGGGCACATTGTGGTATAATATGAAGGACCCGGTACGGTATCACGAAACGCACGTACTTTTTACAAAGATACGATGATAGTCTACCGCGTCGCGGCGTACCGTACAGTACTGTGCGCTGCGGTGCTGACAGCAATTCGAGTACTGTACCGGCACTAAAAGTATAGTGGATATTA